ATGACACATCGATGAACTGGAAAGAAACCCTAGTGTGTTGCCACTGACCAGTGGACAGAGAGATAAATCTTGTGCAGAAAAGACAAATCTTTAGGGTATTTGTATTGGATGTGGTCCAGGATACTGGCGTTTTACAAGCATACATGGCTCAACTTGCAGTCTGGTGGGGGAAAAAAAGAATACTAAAAAACAAATGTAATTATAATGGTTGTGAGATTTGCAGCAGACTGTGGGTGAGGCCCTGGATTGGATGGGGACATACTTTTTTCTAGAAAGGGAAAGAAAAGGTCTTGCTGTTATGGTGCAAAATGGGGGTCCTGATTTCGAGTTAAAAGCTGTTGTAATGTATAAGCAACGAATAAATATAAGCTAGAATGATGCCTCTGGGTGTTGGAGACGACAGACATTTTTATAATAGAACGATGACCAAAAATTTTAACTCCTTTTGTTCATTGTCATCTTCCAACTTGTCCCAGAAATTTGGTTGCATTCGGCTCCGATTTTTGGAGCTGACAAAGCTTAATGGATATGCCTTCGTCCAAATTAAAAATATAAATATGATTGATAATAATTTCGGTTTGAAAATATATTTATAGGTACTTTTTATATTGCAATCGGAATGTTATATAATTTATATTATTTGTTAAGAAAAACAAAGTATTTTTTATCTCAATCTGAAATATTATGAATTTATTTTAAAAAAATCATGTTATTTGTAATTTTTTTGGTTACATCAATTTCTATATTTTTTGGTAACTTTTAAATTTAATCGTAATCCTACTTAGAGGGAGAGGGGACTCTAGAGGAAAGAAAGAGAGTGTTTGAGTCTAGAACTCATGATCTAAAAGAATATAAGGTTAAAGGTTGTCCCTTGTTCCCATATGTAATGGGATAAGGGAGGTAAGATAGTAAGCTGCCCCCAACTCTAGGTTAAGAGCAGCTTCCGTAGGAGACCTTCGAATTATGAAATGCCCTCCATGGAACTCGATCCCACGACTTCAAGGTTAAGAACCTTGTACTCTACCAACTGAGCTGGATGGTCATTTCATCTAAAAGAATATAAGAGAAGACAAATGAAAAAACTTAGTCAACCGACCAAATATACTTATCCAATTTTTAAATTTTTATAACATTATATTAACAAATTGTATTTTATACTTACATCAAAAATACTTGCAGGATCTTACCGAGGGAGACCAGCTTGGGCTACCACTAAAATAAGCATGGCCATGAATGGGTTTTGTGAGGCTTTTCTGCCTTGGGTTCTGTCTGGTCAATCAAGTTAATGGGTATTTCTCATCTGGCCCATAAAGACAGTTTTTGAAAGACAAACGATTCTGGTTCTGTTATGCTTAGGGATGGCAAACGGGCGGGTCGGGTGCGGATACCCCCTCCCTCATCCCCATACCAACCTAATATTTTTCAATCCACCACCTTCACACCACCCATGATGGGTAAAAAAATTTAAATCCACACCCGCCCACGCGGGTACATTCTCAAATCCATCCCCACACCCGCCGAGTCGAGCTCAAATATTGTTGAGCTCACCTTGAACTCGAAAACTTTAAAAGTAGGCTCTACTCGACTCAAAAACTCGCGAGCTAAAAATTATCGAGCTCAACTCGAACTTGAAATATATTATTAAAACTCGAACTCAAAAAAATTTTAAGATCTCAATTGAAGCTTGAGACTCGAGCTCGATTGAAGCTTGATTTTGAGCTCGATTCAAGCTCAAACTCACCCACTACCACAAATTATAATGTAGGCTCTCCTACAGTGGGAAGACTTTAGGCGAGCGTCCCTCCCAAGTGCAATGGAGGTCGCTTACCTAGGACATGAACCTTGATGATTGTCCATTGACCCCATCCAGGTAAGTATGTTGAAAGGAGGTAACTGCCATTTATTTATAATGTCATATAAATGGTCCACTCATGTACTTCTCCAATGTGGGATATTGCTCCAGGAAAGGAACTATAAATCTTGCATTTGGTGGAAAGCTGAATCCGTAAAGATCACATTATAAAGATCAACTTGCCATTATAAGTTGCAAGAAAAAATAGTTGCAGTGTTTGTTGACTTAAGAGCAAACATTAGGTAAGCACAAACATAGACATGACAAAGAAGCAGAAACAAAAAAGCTCCAAATCCGTTAACAAAACCATTATGGACTAACCTAATGGTGGAATGTTGAGAAACTTGGTAGGTAAAATATTACCATATGTTGTTGTAATGCAGAGTTCAGGCTGCAAATCTCTTAAATCGGACAAGAAGGTCTCCTATATAAAGTAGAAAAAATACTTCTTATAAGCATGTTAGGAAAGTTATTAACTTTTATATAGTACTATATCTCACAAAGTAGAAATACTTCTAGCCTTAGTTCAAGATTATTAGAACAAGATGGCAGTAAAATCAGGTTAATTTTGAAGATGGAGTAATATAGTGCAGTTCGAATTGAAACTTGCTATTTGTGAAGACGATAAACTGAAGTGGGTACTCCATGTCTTTCAGGTTTGACAGAGAATCTTAACAACCTCGTAAACTAGATGAAAGTCGGTAAACTGATAATGTGAACTACAGACACAATCAAACCCATCAAGATGACTGCTAAATTGCCTTCTTTGTAGACGACAAATGCAAGCTCTATCATCAAACCGATGAATCGAATATTAAATTCATATACCTCACATTAACACAAATGCATAAACGTATTCCTAATATTTGATTAAATTACAAGTTATATCTTATAAAATATTATGATTTATAAATTAATTTCTAAAATTACACCTAAATTCATAATTATCCAAAATTTAATGGATATTTAGAATGCGGGGTGGGCGGATGCGGGTAAAGTTTCAAACCCATTACTCGCCCACTATCTGCGATGGGTACCACTTTCTAAATCCACACCCGCCCACTACCCACTAAAATTATACCCATCCCGTCCCAATTAGAACGGGTGCGATGCAGAATCTACGAAATTATACCTCAGGATTCAACAGAGCACGAAAAGACGCAGCAATTCCTTTCTATTTCATCAAATGGAACCAAAAGGTCCAGAACAATAAATTTATGTTGTCAAATCCCGACAACGATAATCACCGAACTAAAATCACGACAGAAATGAAAAGGAAAAAAATAAACTTTAAGATGAATTGGATGCGGGGTCCTTGGGATCTGATTTATAAGGCTTATTATAAGCCTCAAGCTCCTCGTAATACACATCCCAAACGCACCGCACGCATCCGCTCCCGCAACAATCTCCAGGCTCGGGTTTCTCCGGCGGCGGAGGTATTGTCTCGGCCAATTCTTCCCCTTTAACTCCTTTCTTGTTCTCTTCGCCCGTACCCTTAATCGGCGTCTCTTCCAACTTGGTCGCCATGGGTTTTAATCGAACGAGAAGAAGGCGGCGTGGATCTTGAAATCGATGGGCGTTGAGGGAGGAAACAAATCTAAGGGCGGAGGTGGGTGGTGTGATGATGGTCATTGGCGAGGCAACATGGGTTGGGGTGTTGATTAGTGGGGGATGGTTGGGGAAGGTTCCAGGAACGTGACGATAAGAATGAAATAGCATCGACCAAGACGTTAGGCCACGCGAGTTTTTTGGGCAGATTCCATAGTTTACCTATTCCTATATTGTTTGCTAAATGTTGAAATTCTCAGTTTTCTATAATGACTTTCTGTACAAGTGGCAGCGTTTTATTTGTCCACTGCTTCATTATCTATCACCTCAATTACGTTTCAATTCCCTTCAACTTTGTTAAATTTCGGATTATACAACGAGGATCTATGTTTGGTACATTCTCTTATATTATGACTCCTTACTTTATGCCGTAAACCAGTTGAATTAAATTCAAGTATTGTTAACTTTGATTTGATTCAAAATATTTAAAGCGCAATTCAATTTGATTTGAAAGTTTTAAAATTATTCTTATTTGAAATAAAAAAAATTAAAGTTTGACTAGAGCTTAAAAAATTTAAACTCGAAATATTCTAAATTTAAGTCAAAGCTTGAACTCGAGGTCGAACATAGACCTTAAGTACATGAAACTTTTATATTATTTTTTAAAAAAAATAACATATAAATGTTAGTTTTATTAATAATTTAATTTAAAGATTAAAAATTCAATATCTTATTTTTTGAGTTATTTGAATCTGGTATCAAGTAGTTCATTTCGATTGTTAAGAACTCAAGCGAATCTATTCAAATAATATTAACCAAAATTTGATTGAATCTAATTCGAGTAGCTTGTAATCTATTTCATCTTATTTACAATCATGCGTCTTATCAATAACTTATTTTGGGATAAATTATTAAAATGATTACTTTCATTTTATTTCTTTTCACTTTTGATTATTAATTAGGATGAAAACGTTAGAGAAAAGGTAGTGATAAAGATCGATTTTATTAAAAAATTAAAATTATAAAAAATAATATATTTTTGTAATATATTTTGATATATTTACCCAATTACATAAGGCATTATCCAATTATACAAAAGGTGCAACTCTGTGTATAATTCATTTTTACACAAAATATTATCCAATTACATAAACTATTATTACAATTGTTTTACTATTTTATATAATATTAATTTTATTCATTCGAAAAAAATATTAAATTATTTTTCAAAAATAATCTTAAATGATAATAAGATAGTATTTATTTATAAATTTTTAACATGATATGATATTTTAATGTAGACAACCTTTTTCAGTGAAAACCTACCGGCTAACATTATGAATTTCAGCGAACGTATCAGCTTCTATGTTGTATTCAAACTTTGATTTAATAGTATTATATATATTTTATTTAATTAATCGTGTAAATCATTGCTTTTATCCAACTACTAAAAAAAATATATGTATATTAAATACATATAACTTTTTTTTTTACATGTAAAATTGAATCCAACTAAGATATACACACAATTGCACAAAATGAACATTTATTACATCAATATATAATTTTAAAATATATCCCTAAAGGAGTAAGCTATATATCCAGAGAAGAATAATTGTTATTAATAATATGTTTTATCATCGGCTTGAATGTTACCGCTACAAGTTAAATTTGGAGAAGCAACAGAGCAAATTACTATTACAAATAATGAATACATAAACTAAAATGCACACAATTGTTATGGTAACCTGTTCAAGGGTGCCAATAACTACATGATGCTCCCCGGTTGCAATAACCACTCTCGTGAAACTTACAGATCCGCTGTCCTTTGGGCGGCAGTCTGAAAGAACCAACTCTGTTTGGAGGACCACCACCGTACGATGAGTGCATATTCCATGGGGGCCTGGCTCTAACAAAACTCGAATCTCTGCTGTGAAAATCATGGTCTCTCGGATTGACATGCCTCTGTTGCTCCCTTGGATCAGGATATTTCTGTTGGTCCCTAGAATCGGCATATTTCTGTTGATCCCTCGAATCGGCATGCCTCCGTTGGTCCCTTGGATCTAAATGCTTCTGTTGGTCCCTTGGATCTACATGCCTGTGTTGGTCCCTCGGATCTACATGCCTGTGTTGGTCTCTCGGATCAACATACATCTGTTGGCTTCTCCAATAGGCAGGATTTCCTGCAGAAGTGCTTGAATGGACGCTGCTGCCATTTTCCTGGATCGTCCCATGACCTGGTCCCCAACTGAAGTTCATAGTTTCTTGTCGTAAACCTTGCAAATGAAAATTTACATTTCCTTGAACTGCTCCCCAATTGGTGCCTGTAGTTTCATGCCCTACTCTCCAAGCTTCGTATTGGTTAACTGAGACATCGCTGGGCCTTGTATCTTCATCCATTTCAGCACTCGTAGAAGAATGTCCGCCAGAACTCTTTTGAGCGTCTTCAGACTTAGTGATCCCAAATAGCTCATTGGTCAAAGCCAACAGAGAAGAGATTTGTAGATCATTCGTTGAACTCAAAGCATCACTTTTTCCTGGATCTGGTGCAGGGCTCAATCCTCCCACAGGACTAAAACAATCAGGTTCAGAACCTTGAGCCAAGTCCCCATCACAACGCAAAATTGATGTAGGTGAAGGAGGTGAAGCCATGCCATTAAGTGACTCCATCGCTTCAACTTCAGCCAAGAGATCTGAAACTGATTCATCACCCAAAGAATACTCATTGGGTTCAGGAACAATTGGATCCCATCCAGATTCATTATTAGCAGGATCTGTGGCAGAAGAATGTGTCAATTGACCACTTCCTGAAGTTGGAGTAGCAGCATGATCACTTCCCAAGTCAGTCGGTTTCATAGTAGACTTGGGAACAAGATCAGGGTTCCACTCCCCTGCAGGTTCTGCAGAATTGGAAGAATACCCTCTCCATTCACCAGCTACTTCGTGAAGCTGTGGTCCATTACCCACTATACTTGAAGCAGTGCTCCAGCTAGGACCTGAATCCAGTTGAGCAACATTTGGAGGAGGAGATTGTTTACTTTTAGTAGCCTGAATTTTTGACTCTTTTTGGTTCAATTTTGATGTTGAGGTAGGAAGATCTGGGAAATCAATACCCTGATTGTGCTCCGACACTTCAAGAGCCCTAGCGAGATAAAGAAGACCAGAGTTGGAACCCCATCCATTTGAAGCATCATTCAAAGGTGGAGCTCTCCAGCATTGCCCAGAAGATTTGCCTGATTTTCCCTCATTATCATCTTGCTTCACATTTCCATCAATAATTTGACCTTTGGTCTTGTTCAAGTTCACATTCATGTCAATCGAACCACAGTCCCATCTTTCAACCCCATGACCTTTGCTAACTTGAGGAGACTGAGTTTCACATGGTTTCACAGACAATGTAGATGTGGGAACCAAACCACTCACATGAGGCTGACCAGGGAAGTAACTATCACCCTTCATGGAGTCCTTCTGGGGCAAACAACTTCCTGTCTCTGAATTGACAATATTTATAGAAGCAGTACAAGTAGAAGATTGAGAGCCCAGTTCTTTCCCCATCGCAGAGTCATCGTTACCATGATCACTTGCATCATTCTGGTTTGGGTTCAAGCTTCCCTCAACCTGTTTACTTTCTGTCTGGTTCACCTTCGTATTCCTACTCTCCCTAACATCTACATCCCTGTTCTGAAATCCCTCCTTGGAGGCAATACTTACATCTATAGTTCGCATGGCACTACTATGAAACAATTGATGTGCTTGGCTGTACTGCCCAGCCAAAGCATCAGTTAAGAGAAGGGAGTCATCTTGCTTTTGACTTACTCTCCATATTCTCGAATCAGGAGGGAAATGACCACCCGTGCTCCACACACGTGACATTGCCATAGAAAATGGCCCTTGAATTTTCTCATGTGGGTCTTGATAGTGCCATATTTTATCTGTCTCAGTATTATTTATAGATAGCTCCATTCCTGTAGAGTGGATAGAAAGAAACAAGCCTGATTAACACCACACACACACATATATGCACCCCTGCCTACTTGCCCGTACATGCATATCTACACAATACCAAAAGATTAAGACCAACATAGGAAAAACAATGATAAAAGATTGTCTATTTCTAGAAGTGCATGCTACCTTTTTTCTTCTCATCCAATTCTCCAGAAACTTCCTCATACTTGAAAAATAGATCCTTATTTGTGTCACTGTGTATGTCAGCAATTTCATGCAGCCTACGGTTTCGTTCATCAGGTGAGTTCAGAAGCTGCAATTTTTCTTCACATTCCCTGAGCGTTCAACATGGTCAAGGAATCCTTGATACACGTTACTGTTTACTTACCAACAAAAAGGCTTAGGAGTAAGGACAATTGCAAGTATCATGTCTAATGGGGTCACACAGTTTCATAGCACGATTAGTAAAAAAATATATATATTTTTAAAATTGCATAGCTTAATAAAAATGCTGAGCAAGTTCTTTAGTTTTCTTACACATAACGCGAACCTGTAAGGCCAATCATTCATCCTTGTGTGATGGAACAAGCTAAAAAAAAAATGTTCAACAAAATATCACTGCCAAAAACTGAAGCAATGTGCCTGGATGATAAATGACAAGGTTGGAGTTGAAAAGGTTGAACTTATTTGTTGTTGGTCATCTCTGTTATACAACAAGAAAACAAAGAAGCATGGGCAAGAACTATCAAAAGGACTTTGCATTCACTGATATGGCTAAGGATATGATCCTAAGTAAAGAATAATGAGCATGGTTGGCTTAAGATAACAAATTAACAATTATGTTTATTTTTAGTTGTATGTTGGTGGCATGTGTTAAGAATATCAGCATAGTAGAGAAAACGGGGGTAAGAGGAGGAAGCTTACAAGTCAGTATCATAACAAACAAAAAAGGATATTCCTTCATGTCCCCCTTCTGACTTGCTTGCTCGTAAAGATTTTTAACTCGTAAAATCTCCGACTCCAGGCACTGGTCAGAAGAAATAAGAGCAAGTGCAAAAAGTACATTCAGAACAGATCTTTAAGGGGAAATAGAAAACATGCAACTATGTAAGAACACTAATATCCTGTCCCTTAAAAGTAACTACATATTAATATCCTGTCATTTATGTGCTGCAACCTCAAAGCTTAGGAACTTACATCATTTACTCTAACTGCTTGAAGAGCCATTGCTTTCTCCTGAACCTCACCCTACAACAAAGCGTAAAACTCCTTTCAAATGACACAACAAACATCTTGGCTGAAAAGTAAAAAAATGAACATATAACACTTACCACAGTAAACCATTTGATCTGCCCACTTTTTATTATACTCTGTCGTAGTTGTTGGCACTCATCCTGAGTTATAACAAAAATATCAAAATCAGTGGAACTTGCATACCTTGTCGAAGAAGGTAAAGTTATGGCAAAAAGACAAGATGGCCCACTGCCAGCCTAACTAGGAGTGTTTATAACTGATAGCCATATAGATGGAGAGACATGTCAATGACCTTTAGAGAGTGACCTTTTCAACCATATACTAGTAAATGGTTAATATAGTCTATGGCGTATTTTCTTTCCAATTTTGTTCTTCCAGCCTATACCAATCCACACAAGCCATCAATTAGCCTCAATTTACTCATTAACCTCTGCCGTTAAACCCTCAAGCATTTTAAACTTTTCTTTTTGGATAATTAAGTTATTTTCCCCAGTTCAATCACAAATATAACCCTAACTAAAATTAGAACCTATAAAACCCAACTCTTCATCCCTTTTGTTTCAATATGTCGATAAAATCAGAGTTCATGCACATTAGACATCCTTACATGGCACTTTTGTTAATAAATGCAAGGCTGAAAATGGAAAATTTATGTTTCGCAAACAACATAGGATCATTGAAATAAACAGAAACAAAGCAAGAAATGAAACAAAATAGAAGTGAAAAATATGAATTGAGGAAGCATATTTGGGCACCTCAGAAAATTCCTGATTTGAAATTCCATCAATGGAGACAACCTCTTTTTTGTCTAAATTTAATATCTCAATCATGATATCTATCGTCTTTTCACCAATTTTATATGGTTCGGCCACCTTGCTGGTACCTGCAAACAAAAATATCATTAGCCAATGTCTGTGATAAAACAAATCAAAATTAATTAGGGGAGCATTGGCCATATAAGTTAATACCTACTACTTGGACAAGCCTATACATATCTTGCTTCTGATCATTACCAGGAAGCCTTATCCTTACAAAGGAACCAACAATTTTGTCGTTAAATTTGTCAACATCATCAATTAAGTTCTCGATCAAATTACGCCTCAACCAGATCAAGTTCATATTGTGAACATCAATTGCAGCAAACTCATCTGGATTTGTCCTTTTTCCTTTCTCATCAACCTTTCTATAGGATGTAACAACAACTTCGGAACGTTCACTAATGGTATCAGTGGGCCCCAAATAATATTTTGTAATTCCTGGTTTTACTGCTTCTACAGTTTCAACTTTGCTAAAAAATGTCCGTTGCATCAAATTTTTTCTTCTCTTGGAGAAACTAGCTCCAAGGTCTCCAAAAGACTTCTCCATTGTAGCATTTTCTTTCCAGGGATTTTTAGCTTTTGTAAGCTCATCTAAAGTTAGAGATAGCTTCTCTTTCAAGGAAACCCAATACATCTTGAAAAGATACTCCCAACTAGTTGGATCATCAAAATCCACTTGTACCTGCACAGTATAAATTACAATAGTTACCAGACAGGGAGAATGAGTAATGCTAAAAATAAAAACTATTGAGATATTAAAAAAAGAAATCAATTGTACAAGATTTGGCTAATCATACCATTTCCTTATTGCCTAATGTGCTGTTTTCACTCAGCATTATAGTTTTCAAGCAGATTCCACAAAATCCTTTATTTCCCCTTACATTCACGTAATCGGCACCTTTGGTGCAATTCTTGCACAAGGAGTACGGACAAGTATAGCACATATAATATGAAGCCTTTTGACAAGTGCTACATATATGCCACCCTGAAATGTACAACAAATAGAAAACAAAACATTAATGAAACGGACAACTTAAACATCATAACTTACTAATAAATGGGATAACCATGTATGCATGATAATGAATCGGGAAGCAAAAGTCCAACACAAAGATGGATATGGAAGGTACCATTCAATATGCACAAGGAGAGAGTATAAGATTACAGTTGAGATAAAAAAAAGTAAAGTAATCTAACCACGAATCAGTGAAAAACGTGAAAAGTCACCACTTTACACCCACATGTTAATGGTACGACATCATATCGTATTTGAGAAATATATAGTAACCCGGTAATTAAACAACAGAGAATCCAAACCAATGACAAACATTGAAAACTACCATTTGACATGTGCGTGGCAACAGTACAACAGAACATTCATTAATTAACTGCAGAGCAAAAAAGCCGAAAATGAATCTAGATAACATTAACACGAGCTTCAACACTTCCCATCACTTAGATTAATTAAATTGAAACAAAAGTGACAGAAGATTTATAAGAACTAATCAAAATCCAACATACCACAGTTCCATTTCGCCTTTGACTTAAAGAATGCATCGTCCCTTTTGACGCAGGCTGGATGATATGCCTTAGGACAGCCGCTGACATTAAATCCCATAAAATTAACCATGTAAATGATACAAATGAAAACTATACAAAAGAAAATTAAAACTAAACCAACATTCTATTGCCAAACGAAGAAGAGCATCAAGTAGTACAATAGATGAACAATTAGTATCATAAAATAACCAAAAGATCAGTGGCATTGGCATAGAACTTCCATATTGAACTGAAAACTATCTGCAGTTAATCTCTCTAAATAAAAAGCTCATATAAGCTCAATTTAGCGGAAAGTTAAAAAAATTTCAGATTAACTTAGCAAAACCTTGAAGCTCAATCAAACAATAACTCTAGCTTTCACCTTATTATTGGCCAACTAACTAAAACTTCCTTTCATTTTATTACATTTTCTGATCAAATAAACAGAAATAAGAAGCCAAAATTTTTCGAAACTCACTGCCGATCACAAAGCACGAGACTCCCGCCATCGAAGCATATAAAACAAACATCTTCTTCATCATTCTTCCTCCGAGCTGGGGCCGGAGCTGATAACGACATCATTTTCGCCTGATTCTTCGGCGGTCTTCCCCGCTTCCGCTTCCCTGAGCTCATCTCAATAACTTTGACTCCGTCTTCTGATCTCATCTCCGCTTTAGCACCACCATCTCCACGAGCCACCACGTCAGAGTTTCCCCTGAGATGCGAATCATCCGTCTGCGGAATGTTCCGGCAGTGATCGACGCTCATGAGCTCTACTCCTTGCAAAGAATCACGATTCAAACCAATACTATCATTCAGAACATCACCACCGCTGCTATCATTGTTTTCTTTAGAAGGATTAGACAGAGACGTAGTGGATTCAACACCTTGTTGTTGAGAATGAGAATTTTCCATGTAAAAATAAATAAATATTTTCAGACAAAGAATCTATGGTTATGTTAATTTCTTTGAAAATCAAATTTAGGAAAGCGAAAAAAATGATTGAAAACCCTAGCGATGAACGAGGAGAAGTGGGCACAATGGTCATGGACCGGCAACTGCCAAGGGATGTGACAAGGCATCGTTTGGGGGAAAAAACGTTTAATTAACTTCAAAACCTTGTCTTTCAAAACATGAGACTTAAGTGGAAGGAAAAGCCGTCATTGGGACAGTTGTATTTCTTTCCAGTACTTCTTAACTTGTTTTTACTTTTTAACGTCAAACGCGGGAATGTCTCAGGAAAGGCGGGTTAATATACGGTTAATATACAGTATTACTGGATACATTAAAATGTATTTAATAAATATGAAAAACTATTATGTTGACAACTAATAATGTTTTAGGTAGAAAATATGAAAAACTATTAAAAAATTTGGTAACCGATAAACTTTGGTTATCGGTAAGTATCTATCCTTTTTATAAAAGTGTCCATACTTTTAACATATCAAGTAAATTTTACCGGTTTTGTCATAATGAATCTGGTTTTGTCATATTTTTACCTGTTATATTGTAAATTATCTATCCTTTTTATAAAAGTGTCCATACTTATTTCACTGTGAAAATATTTTATTATCTTTAGTTAATATTGTTAAATTTAAAATCTAAATAATATTTTATAAAATATCAAAACAATCAAATAATTTTTTGTGTAAATGAAATTATTAAATTAATATTGTAGGTGGAAAACATGAAACACTATTAAAAAATTTGGTAACCGATAAACTTTGGTTATCGGTAAGTATCTATCCTTTTTATAAAAGTGTCCATACTTTTAACATATCAAGTAAATTTTACCGGTTTTGTCATAATGAATCTGGTTTTGTCATATTTTTACCTGTTATATTGTAAATTATCTATCCTTTTTATAAAAGTGTCCATACTTATTTCACTGTGAAAATATATTTATTATTATCTTTAGTTAATATTGTTAAATTTAAAATCTAAATAATATTTTATAAAATATCAAAACAATCAAATAATTTTTTGTGTAAATGAAATTATTAAATTAATATTGTAGGTGGAAAACATGAAACACTATTAAAAAATTGAAACATAAATTACATAACTTAAAAAAAAAGTATATATCATTTTTATAAAAGTGTCCATACTTATAAAAGTAGGTCTAAGTCATGAAGAAATATTAAAAAATTGTGCTACCAGTTCGTGTCGATCCAAATTAAAAATATGTCGATCCAAAACGATATAACAGGTAAAACTATGACAAAACCGGTATAGAAATGATAAAACCGGTCAAGCGCTACCGGATACATTTAAAGTGTCGGTACTTTAATATAATGATCGACACTTCGTGAATTTAAAAGAGAAGCAGTTTTAAATCCTATAAATTGTCGATACTTTTAAAAAATGTATCGATCCAAAACTATATACCAGGTAAATATATGATAAAACCAGTAACAAAATGATAAAACCGGTAAAACGTTACCGGATATATTAAAAGTGTCGATACTTTATATAAGGATCGACACTTTGTGAATTTAAAAGAGAAGCAGTTATAGCGCCTATAATGTGTCGATACTTTAAAAAAATATATCGATCCACAACGATATAACAGGTAAAAATATGATAAAACCGGTATCAAAATGATAAAACCGGTAAAATGATACCGGATATATTGAAAGTGTCGATACTTTCGTAAGTACGTGTAATAAATTATCGACACTTTCAAAGAAATAGGTAATTATCCTTTCGAAAGTATCGACACCTGACATAAAAGTATCGACACTTTTGTATTTGTATCGATTAAATATAAATAACATATCCGATGAAAATATAAAGGCCATAGCTAAATATCCTCTGAAAAAAGATAGAACGGACGAGTTTTTGAAATCGAAGCGTAATTGTTGCTGCATTTCAGAAGGCGTTTCTAAAGCGAAGTTTGTTTGTTTGTTGCTGCAGTCGAATCGAAAAGTATGTTGTCGAAACCCTAATTTTTTATTATTACAGTAATCGCGATAGGGTTTTTTATGTGTTGTTTGGGGTTTTGGAGTAAGGAAGCATTTGGGACCGATTGCAGGTAGAAATAGATATTCAAGGAAAAATATAAATGTCGATACTTTTATTAAATATTATAGGTAGAAAATGGTATTATAGGTTGTATAAATGTGCCGACACATTTTGGTGTGGCCATTCAAATTCTTTTGAAGAAAACCGTTTTACCACAAGAGTAGTTATCTATATTTGTATATTGAATAAAGTGTATGTAACAAAATAATTTGATTTGCGTAAACTGATATATGAAGGAAAAATGGAGTCAATGGGTTGGAAAATTGTTGGTGGAGCAGATGACTTTGAAATTGAGGCCGAGACTCGAAAGCAACCAAAGGGTGGATATATGTACTTCTAGTAAGTATCAATGTCTTTTTGTTATTATTGTTGAAATGGTAATTGGATTAAAGTATCGATAAACTTTAAATTGATTACAAATTTTAAATGTTAACAGTATGGCCGAATGCAAAAGGATGAAGGGAGATGGCACACAGAGCGGTTCGGTATGTAAAATGAAATTGACATTGAGTAGTATTAGTATTTAGTGTTAATGTATTGATTAAGAAACGTTTATGTTTAATATTAGGTGAAAAAAGATGTGAGGTCCAAATGGAATTCAATGAGTGATGCTGAAAAGGAACCTTACATCACACAGTCAAGGAATGATAGTAAAGAATACAAAGAACGGAGGAAAGCACATGAAAATAAGGTATTCATTAAACTTGTAAATACGTTGATACAAAATATATAAGAACTATAACATTATATATTGTTAAAAAATGTAGGAAGTGTCGACAAGATGCAGCATTAAAAGGGTGAATTTATTAATTAAACACCTTAAGGAGAAGGGTCAGTTGAATGTGCTGGGAGAAATAGGTTTTGGATCGTTGATCGGAGTAAGGGATCGACCTATTCGGAGGGAATTGTGTCGATCCTTGATGGCACAATTTGACGTCAGTCAATGTATGGCTAAGTATGGTGATTATTCATTCTCTCTGGGGGTATCGACTGCTGCAGCCGTATTGGGGGTACAAAACAAAGGCAAAAGTGTTATAGAAGTCTGTAGGAGTAAGAACTGGAAAGCACTTGCCTCCAAATATGGTTTGAATCATAAGGTGACATATGCTGAAGTTGAAGAGGATATCAAAAGTGGATCTTACTAGGGGGATGAGCTGAAGGCCCGAGTTCTATTGTACCTTGTCGGGATATTTCTTTGTCCAACGGGTGATACGTCAACGAACAAGGAATATATGAAGCTCATTTGCGATGAAGGCTTGAAGGGTGAATTCAATTGGGCTGAATATATCCATTCGAGATTGATTGAATCAATAATCACCTTTAAAAAGGGCAGCCAGAGATACCTCAAAGGGTGCATAGCAATCTTAGAGGTAAATGAGTTGAATCACTTTTTTGTGTTTTTATATAAAAATATAAATTTTATTATAAATGCAGGTTGCACTGTTCGATTTTTGGTCGGGCTGTGAGGCAGTGCCGGCTTATGAAAGAACCGGAGTGGCACGCATCCGTGCATGGGGGAAGGAAGATGTGGTTAGAGTGATGGTGAAGTTGAAGTTGGATAGAGGGAAGAAGCAAGAAATGGTAATAAATGTAATTAAATAATATTAAGAATATAATCAATGTCTTAATATTGTAATTTAATTTTGAAGGTTATTGGCAAGGATGTAGAGGAGGCAGTGGAGGCAGAGGAGAAGAAAGGAGGGATGGTTGTATTGGGGGATGACGGTGAGTGGGACGACGGTGAGGGAAAACAGAGTAACTTCGACATTTTGATGTCTGAATTGGCTGATATCAAAAAAATCCAATTTGAAATCATGCAAAGACAATCAAGAGTCGAAGAGAAACTTGATCGAGTCGTAGAGAAACTCGAGAGAGTCGAAGATACACTTGAGAGGCATAAGGGGGTAGTGGAAGGAAAAATAGATGGAGTGGTGAAAGAAGTAGAGGTGTTGAGGGTGAAGTGGTGAAAGAAGTTGGGGTGTTAAGGGGTGATATTAAGATGGTGACGGGAGAAAAATTTGAGGGAGTGGTGAAGGAGGTTGTGGATTTGAGGAGTGAACTTACGGGGGTGAAGGGGGTGGTTGATAAATACTCGGATGAAGGAGCTCAATTGAAGGGTGAAATAAAAGAGATGAAGAGCTATGTAGAAAAAAAGTACGATGAACTGAAAAATATGAAGAAGAAAAGAGGGAGGAGGAAGAAGAATAGATGGAAGAAATGAGGAGGAAGGAAGTCGATGTCATTTACACACCGGAGAGTGTTATAGCAGCAGTTTTGGATTCGGAATGTCCTGCACCCCAGAAGAAGAAGCAGAAGGTAAGTTTAATAAAAGAATACTTAATTTGATTTTTATTATGTTGTTGTGACAAAAATTTGTATGCAAAATTGTAGGTTGAAAAAGCGGATATTCCAAGCGGAATTGATGACATCGAAGCTGTAATTTGTGATTATTTATGGAATAGCGAGTTAGAATCGGGGTAAGTGAAATATATTGTTTTGTGAGTGATATTTAAATATTTCATGAGAACATATTAATCCTAATGATTCATACAGATATTCTGTAATCTCAATGGGAAATCAATTCGCTACTGTATACGACGTTACAACGTTGAAGCCTACGGAATGGGTTGGCGGTGTGGTAAGTAGAAAGTAGAAAATGTTAAAACTTATTGAATATGTTCTGATTGTGTAATTAATTTTGTTAGGTTATCGATTTGCTCGCCTGGACCATATGCTACGATTCTCAAAGTCACTCCGGAGGATTGGCTACCTTCCATACCTCTTAGTGGTGAGTTAAATTAATAAATATTGAAAAATAGTGTTATAGACGGTAAATTAATAATGTTTGTTGCGTAATTACAGCAACAGGCGTTGGATGCCAACAACAAAGAAAGTGTTGAGAGTATTTCTACCTTCGGGGTGTCATATTGGATAACTATGTGAAATTCACCGACTGTGAGAAGGTAAGACACCATACCAATTGCAAATGATGTTTTCGGATATAGAATGTTGAATTTTGTCAAATT